TCAGTCCCTTTCTGTGTTATCTCTTTCTTCATGCAATATGTCCCCAAGGATACTTGTCTGTTGTGGACACAGGCATCTTTTTGGTGCCACGTACTTATTTTCCTAGGCATTTAGGCATTAGTTATGGCCCAACTGTTGTGTTCTGCCTTTGTATTGTTCATTTTAAATTGTGAGAAGAGGAAGAAGTTGTGTTATATGTGGATAAACACATTCTCCATCTTCTAGAAAACACTAGTGAATGTTTTCCCATCCTGGTGCCCTTCAGATCTTTTGGACTACAAACCTAACATTCTAGACCAGGGGTCAGCAACCTTTAACATCAAAGAGCCATTTGGACCCGTTTCTCACACAAAAGAAAACACCAGGAGCCGCAAAACGCTTTTGACATCTAAAATGAAGATAACACTGCATATATCGTTTTTTACCTTAATGCTATGTATATCTTCATTATGATTTAGCTGCAGCTCTTGTTCAGTCACTAAAAACTGTTATTTTTAATCTTACATTATAAACTAGTAGGATTCCTTTCATATATTTTGACTGAAGAGTCAAAGTCAGTGCTCAAGGGCTGCATGCATTAAACAGCAAACCCCATAAGTTCATCAGCAGTAAAAGCAAATGAATCTACCCACGTATCATTAAATGTTTGGTTTTCTTCTTCGATTTATCCATGGTTAGCCTATGGGGGGGGGGGGGGGCTCAGTAAATCGGCTGTGCTGGAGATATAGGTGTGTTTAGTGACAGATTAGCAGATAAACAGTCAAGTACTGTGAATTGTGACAGGTCCCAAGCGCAGCTTCAGATGAAGGAGATTACATTGCGACAAAGAGAATCTTTTCAGCAGTGTTGTATAACTTGAGAGCCTGCAGGAAGCTTGTTTAGCAGAGGAATGTAGCAATTTACTTAACTAGCTGATTTACTTAACTAGCTAGCGCTGAGTTCCTGAGTGGAGCTTAGAGCAGATCAGCTGTGCCGGCACATGTTTTGACAACGGAGCCACAGCAGAGGGGTTCAAGAGCCACGTGCGGCTCCGGAGTTGCGGGTTGCTGACCCCTGTTCTAGACCATTGGCCATGCTGGCTGGGGCTAATTGGAGTTGAATGTCAAGCATCTGAAGAATACCAAGTTGGAGAAGGTAGGTCTAGAAGGTAGCAGTGAAGTCTGTGGGCAACAGGGACAGTGCTAGATACCAAAAATATTCAGGGCTCTGGCCCACAGGATAAATAAAATGCACACATTTCCATATGCTCACTATATGTTTTAAAGTGTCTCTCTGTGTTTGTATTTAGAGGACCCTATTTCCTAAGGACATTCTTATTTGTAAAAAGTAACAGATGTACAGCAGAGAGGACATCTTCAGGGTTAAAAAAATAATAATCAGGCAGTAAGATATATGGTGGGAGTGCAGGAAGTAAAGCCCATATGGGCAAAAAGTCAGTTAATCCAGCATGATTAGATGCAGTAGCAATAATCAGGCTCCCTGTACTTTTATTTCAGCCAGTTTTTATGGATAGGAAGGTGGTGGGGCATTTAGCTTTGGGGCTCCAGCCCTAGTCAGTATCCCCAATACTGCCTCTGGTGAGGAATTTCCTTAGCAAAGAGAAATGAGCAGGTTTTAGAAGAATCTGGAGTATTCATATTACTTTGACATTGTTATCAGCCACTTTTTATATCAGATGACAACACAACATCTGCATAGCTTGAAATCTGAACTACAACAATCTTTATTTTTAACTGCATATTTTGCTTTGAATTGTACATTTTGTATACGGTTTAGCACTGAAAATTTTAAAACCCTGATCAAAACAGAAGACACATGCCATTTCTGGTAGACCTAGTACCTGGGTGACAGCCTCTGAGACATTTGTATACCAGTCTACCCCTCTGTAGTTTCTCAGTAGTTAGAATGGACATCCAAACAGTGCCTTTTCATTCTTAGTGGAAACTTTTGCATCTTTAAGCTAAAGGGTATTACAAGGTTGAAGGCCTTGGTTAATATTGAGGAAAGGGGTGACCTGCTCAGGGTTCAGCCCACTGTTAGGCTCTAATTTACAGAGAACACATCAGCGTGAGAAATTTCTTTGTTTCTACAATAAATGAAAAGCCCTCCGTAACTTCTGTGGAGCTGTGTGGCACAACACAGAATGATGAGAAGAAATTCCAACTGATCCTCCTGCAAGATCTAGAAATGACAGATTCTCTGTCTGTCAGTCAGTCTCACAACAAGCTGTTTTAACCCTTCACAACCCAACTGCATTCCCCCAAATGCTAATATCTTCCCCTTCTCAATCCCGAGCCTTTCCCATATGACTGGAAAGTAAAAGTAGAGTCAGACAAGGTAGGTATAGAAGGGCCTGTTGTTGGTGCTCTTAGAATGATTTTATGGCTGGAATCCAGGATGGGAGGAGGCAGTTGCACCCTATGAGCCCATGCCACAAGCAGGACATGAGTCCAATAGTCGCTTCTGCCTTGTTTCCCAGCACCTGGTATTGAGAACAGCAGTGCCTCTGATACTGGAGGCAATGCATAGATATTAATGACTTCATAGTAATGCAGCCCTTCATGCCTCCAGAAGAGAGTTCTAAAACAGTACGAGCTGCAGCACAGGGGAAAAAGTGTTGTTGGGGTTTGTAAAATGATATTTGCATCCCAACTGTTTACTGTGAGTCCTCTTTTGAGGATTAATGGCAGGAAGCCTTTTTCTTAAACAATTTTTACCCTTCCTAAGCTTATCTTTAAAAGTTAAACATTTCCTGATTGGTAGTTTCATTTTCATTTCAATCACTTAAGTCAGCTGGGGTTCAATCTATCCTCAGCCCCTTCTCAAAACAGAGAAAATAAGTTAGCATCTTGCCTCTATCATAAAGTTCATTTTTTGTGATTATACTACTTCAAGAACACTGGAGTACTTTCCCCCATTTTAATTATTTTCTACATATTCCTTTATGCACATCTTTATTTCATGCATGTCTTTCAAACCATTATGAAGGACGTGTTTTTATTGGGACCCAGCAATAAATGTCACCCAGGGACTAGTTAATTCTCTACAAAGTGGCTTTTCATGACAGGAATTAACACTTCATATTGCAACACTGGCTTCTTACTTGTAAGGCTTTTATATGTTTTATAATATGCCTTATTTTGTGATGCTTCTCACACAATTAAAGAAAGAAAGAACAAAAGATAGATTTGTAACACTCTTTTGAAAGGAAAAGAAGGCTATTGGGGTATACTATTTTTATGTTGGATTCAGTATTTTATCTAGTCTTTTCTCTTTGTTTTATAAGTTCAGCAATCTCAGTAATACATTTCTTCAGCTTTCTTCTGTGGGGCTTCCAGGTACTCCAATATGGAATTAAAGTTAACATTAAAGGGGCCATTTCACCCCAAAAGCTGCTGGAATATCATACTAATAAAATTATTTTGATGCAAAACTGGATTCATTTTAAAATCAATCATTTATTTCCAGTTAGACCTTCAGAAGTGCTCTATTGGGCTACAATAGCAGTTTGATGTAGTAAAACAACAGTGTATAGGTGTTAATTCAAACAAAAGTACAGTTCCAGAAAAAAATGTACTAAGGATGCTGCTTCATTATTAATCGTCTGTTCATCTTTCATATTGCACAGTGGAAGAAGAGGCCTCTGAACTACTGGTAGGTTTATGGCATACTTTTGCCCCAGTTCTGTTCTTGAATCACAGAAATATTAAAAGCAAAGATCCATTCACAAATAGTCCCTCCTTCCTTAAATATGGAGTAGGAACTCCCTTAAGAGATAAAATTTAACATATCACTTATGGTCAGTCCAGAATTGCTGGAGGCAAAGTCATATATTTCTGCAAAAATATGCATCTGTGGCAAGACACTTCTAATTTCATATGAGCTTATTAATACATATAAATTATACCACAATATGAGAAATTAAATTATAGTTGCCCCTCAAAAGACTGAGTAGTATTTCAAAACTAGCGTTTACTATTTCAAACACTGGTCATGGCCTCAAACACACTACATGAAGTCATGGCCTACTTCTGTATTTGATGAGAGAATCTTTACATATTCATATGAATTTTAAAGTAGCACTCCTTCACCCTGAAAATATATTAATTCCCTGGAGAATGTGAGAAGAAGATAAAAACCCTGAAACTTCAGGTCAACCCTAAGTATAAATTAATTTCTGTATGAGATACTATGTGCCCTTGAAATATGAACAAAGTAGTACAGACAGTGCAAAGAGCACACTCCCATTACATACTTGCACTGGGGCTGTTCATTTTGTTAGACAGACACCCAGTAATTATTTAAAATCCTCAAAAATAATATTAAAACAATGCTATAATAAAGCTACAAGTAGATTCATGCTTGTATCGGCTTGATTAAAACCACTTTCTTTTCTTAGATGTTGGAACAACTTTGCATCACATATACTTGTATTCTCAAATTGCTCCGAGGATAAACTATCATTAGAGAAACAGAAATCAGAGCTATACAGATAAATTGTACTTATAGTTGTATTATGGCATCATTTTTATCATTTTCAAATACAGAATAAATACTGAAGTAAATCAACATCCTAGATACAAGCAGATCATCTGTCAAAATAAGACAAGTTTTTTGAATCCACAAATGGTAACACCCAACAGTAAATGAGTCCTTGTCAGAGGATTTGTATAAATAATTACTTTACTACAATAAGGATGCTCATTTATTTACCAGGGAATTGCACACTCTTTTACAAGAGGATATTCATTGCTTTATAACCATCTGTCACTGCAGTTCTATAAACACCAGTACCTCCCCCACCCACAAATCTAATTAGTTTTGATTCAGTCACACATTTTAAAATGATGCTACTGGAGATGCTGTCTAATATTAGCACAGTGGCAAACATGAAGGCAACTGATTGTCCAACCTAAGGGGCAATATTTGTCCATTTTTCTTGCCCCTGGCAAGACTTATTCCCTAGCAAAATAAATAAATAACTTTCAACATCAACTTACAGGTAATATAGCTTTCCGGCTGCAGGTAGAGCTCGTTTTCTGTAGTCTATTCCAGAATCCAGCTGGATGGTACTGCAATATTTCTAAATTACAAAAACAAAAGAATGGTGAAATTACTTCTCTTAAGCAGATGCTATGGAATGTCAAGGGTAAATACAAAACATTTTACCCACCAATTTTCTCAAACATAATCATAAGACAAATTGAATTATTTGCTTGGGAGGATCATGCTCTGGAATGACAGGCTAACCACAATGTTCTCCAAAAGTATAACAAAACTTGATGGAGACTTCTCCTGAAGTCATTAGGAAGGCATTAATACAAATTCAAAAAAACACAGATTGTTTATATAACTCTGTAAGAAAGACAAAGTAGCAAAGCTGAGCAAGTTCAAGAAGATAAAGTGGGCATTTATACAAATACAATAAAAGATCATCCAAGTTTCAGTTTTGTGGACCTGATCTCAGTTCAGGTTGACAAAATATTCTGTATGTCTGCATTGGTTTCAACAGTCTGAATGTAAGAAGGCAGGCAAAGACTATTACTTACTTAATAGGAACACCAATTTCATGTATCAGGATTTGCTTCCAAACATGATTGTACACTCAAATATACTGTAGTTAGCAGCTATGGATTTTTATGGTGAATTTAGAATCTGAAAATACAGACTCAAGCTTTATATATATATATGTGTGTGTGTGTGTGTGTGTGTGTGTGTGTGTATGTAATTTGGATAAATGTGCATGAATTACTTTTATGGTATTGTATTTTCATATATTGCATATATGCATTTTGGAAAAAAGTGTTCTGAAGAATTTATTGCTAAATTGTTTTTACCATAAATGCCAATACTATTATGATTATTATGAACAATGATAAAATGGTCACATAAGTACATGGAGATGGTCAGATAAGAACATGGAAAAGTGTGAAAAGAAAAAGTTGCCTATAAGGACAGGTTTATGTAAAGGATGTAGCACAGTACAATCCAGAAGGGACTGATCTAACTCTGCACACTAGAAGTTGTTTTGCCCACTTGATATGGCTATGCTTGCAGGAATAGTGGTGCTAGTTAGGTGCCTTTGCAGAGAGATCCCAGAGTTCACCTTACTTCTACTAGGCACAGATGCTTGTTGAACAGATTGAAGAAGTATCCTTGCAAACAGACAAACATGAATATTAGGGTGGGGTGGAATTTTGTTAGGCTTCCATTTTGATAAGAGTTTTGTATTTGCATTGTCCAAATCAATATGAGAACTAGACTGCAGCTATCCTTCTGGGATTCCTAAATCTTATGATTTTGCAGTACAATTCTCCAGACAAAAATGCACACAAAATACTTTATATTAGGGAAGTGTGTACAAATATGCATATTTGTGGGAAACATACAAAACAGTGTTATTTTAAGAAAAACTGATTACAAAAATATGTACATTAGTTAGAATTGCATAAAATGCATATATTACAAAATACTCAGGAAAGAGTTTTTATATGGACTTTCTTTTTAAAGTCACAAGCTGATATGGAAACAAGATGGAATTAACCTAAGCATGCAGAAATTAAAAAAAAAACATAAAGAAAACAAATCTGGCAGATTTGTACACCCTTCTCAAACACTATTTTTAAATAGTGATTATTAAACTGAAGTAACTGATCATAAGAACATGGTGATACTCATGTAAACACCCATAATAATTCTGTATTTTTTCCCCCTATCCCCGCCCAAGCAATTCATTATGAAGGCTTTTCTATTCCTTATGGTGAAAAGAGAGGTTCTTATAACTGTACTAGTGCTTTTGGATTCTGTTTGAGATGAAATTCCTTGGTCTGTAACAAGCTGATGGCCACTGGGGCTTTAGCAGAGGTGGGATTACTTTTTTTTCTTTGCTTTTCCTTGCCCCTTATGGTTTATTATATTTGGTAGGATACAGATGCTTGGCTGGGGCTGAGAAGGTACAAATTCTTTCTTAGAGAAGGCAACAGAGAGACTCTTTCTGGAAAATAAAACAAGACAAACATCCTTGATTCCAGAAAAGCTGAAAAATTATAGGTCTGTGGCAAACATCTCCGTCCTGGCCAAGGTGCTTCAATGTGGTATTGGCCCATCAAATCTAGACACACCTGTATGAAACAGATCATATAGATCCATTTCAGTCAGTGTTTAGGCCTGGTTTTGGCATGCAAACTACCAAAACTACCTTGGTTTTTTATGGGATCACTTTTATTGGGAAATAAATGGGGTAAATACAAGCCTACTGAATCTCTGGGACCTCTCAGGGGCTTTCAGTATAACTAGCCATGTATCATTCTAGAGAGGTTGTCTGAGTTGGGTGAGGGTGATATAACTTTGCAGTGATTCCATTCATATATGGATGACCATTTCTAAAAGATGGTGCTAAGGGACTCCTGCTCACACTCACAACATTTGTACTTCAGAGTTTCACCAGGTTCCATCTTGTTCTACATGATTTCTAATAGCAACATGAAACTGCTGAGTGAAGTCATTAAGAGATTTAAGTGGAAATCCTATGGATGTTTAGACAGAAAGAGGTTCTACAACTCTCAGCATACCTCAGAGCTACCTGGGTATGCTGGGAGTTGTAGAACTTCTGTCTAAATATGCATAGGATTGCACACTTGGACGGCAATGTCATCAATCAGTTTCTGTTGTTTTAAGAGTTATTGTAATATTTTATTTATTTATTTATTTGGGTATTTTTACCTGGTCCAATACCCAGTGGGTCTCTGGACGGCTTACAATTCAGATATTTAAATCTTTACATTATTCCTGACTTGTACTTTGATCTCATAGTGTAATTTTAAAGCTTTCTATTAAGTTTTATCATGCAATATTTTATGGTTTTAATTGTACTGAACCACCCAAAGAACTTAAGCTATTTGGAGATATAGAAAGGTGGTAAATAAAATAAATAAATAAAACATCGCTCTATCATTCTCTCTCTCTTTCAGCAGATCTAGAAGAAGCAATGGAAATGCCTAATCAGTGCATGATCATGGTAATGACCTGGATGAATATGATCCAACAGTGTGATGTGGCTGGATTTTTTTAAAAAAACAAATGCTATTTGAGCCACATTTGCATAAGTATAATTTTCAAAACAGGTGAAATACTAGTTCCCTCTACTCAGCACTGGTTCAGCCTCATCTGGAGTACTGTGTCCAGTTCTAGGTTCATAGTTTAAGAAAGATGTATGCAGACAAAATGGAAACGGTTCACAGAAGGGCAACAAGGATAATCCAGGGACTGGAAAGTAAGTTCTATGAAGAGAGATTTGAAAGAACTGCATATATTTAGCCTTAAGAAGAGATGATGGAGGAGATACGATAGCACTATCCAAGTACTTGAAAAGTTGTCACACAAAGGAAGGCCAGGATTTTTTCTCAATCATCCCAGAGTGTAGAACACAGAATAATGGGCTCAAGTTGCAGAAAGCCAGATTCTGGCTAGATATTAGGAAAAATGCCCTGACTGTTAGAGCAGTATGGCACTGGAACCAATTACCTAGGAAGACTGTGCACTCTCGCACACTAGAGGTATCCAAGATACGGCTGGACAGCCATCTGAGAGGGGGGGTTTAACTTGAAGTCCTGTGCTGAACAGGGTATTGAACCTGATGGGTTTCCTGGCTCCTTCCAACTCTACTATTCTAAGAGTTTATGAAAGTCAATAAACTGAAGCTAAACCCAGAGAAGACAGAGAGAGATACTGTTGGCTGACGGTTCATTTTTCTGAGTAAGTGGGTTCAAGGTATTCAAACTGTTCTGGAAGTGTGGCCTTTGATACAGTACATATGCAGTCTGCCAAGCAATTTTTGTCAGTCCACTAGAATGTCCTGCTTCTGCTCTGGCTGAAAAAAATGGCAGAAACAGCACCTGGGGTTTCCCTTCTTGGTGCTAGTGGAGCAAAATATACTTTCCCCTTATATTCAATCTCGTCTGAGAGACTAAAGGTAAGGAAGGAGTTTCCTTGCTAGCACCAGCAAGAGAAACCCTTGTGCAAGTACATGTGCTTGTGTGGGCGTAGATGCACTTATGTATATGGGCATTTATTAATTTATTTATTTATATCCTGCGTTTTTCCTACAAAGGGCTCAAGGCAGCTTACATCATTCTCCTCCTCCATCTTATCCTCACAACAACAACCCTGTGAGGTAGGTTGGGCTGAGAGACTGTGACTGGCCCAAAGTCACTCAGTTGGCTCCATGGCCAAGCGGGGACTAGAACCCAGATTGTCTGAGTCCCAGTCCCTTAACTCATCATCTGAGACCCAGTCCTCAGTCCCAGTGCTCTTAACCACTACACCACACTGGCTGTCTGACATGTACATATACAGCTCCCAGGGCCAATAAGGTTGTACACTCTTGTCCTAAAAGTTTGGGTTAGTAGCTTGGGAGTGCTTTTAGATACAACATTGCAATTAGAGGCAGAAACTTCTTCAGTGGTAGAAAGCTGCTACATCATTTATAGCAGGATAAAAACAGCTTGACTTCAGTTACCTATGCCCTGGTAATTTCCTGCTTAGATTGCTACAATGGATTATATGTTGAATTGCCCTTCTGCAGCTGGTTCAGAAACTGCAATTAGTACAAAATATGGTCTGGTGTCTACTTCGTTAACTTTTTGATGCCAAGACATTTTTATTTTCCAAGGCCTTTAAAAATTCTTACTTGCTGCTTGTTTTATATTCAATTATATTTTAGAACTGTTTTAAAAGCAATTCTTTCCTATGTTTTAGATGTTCCGATACTGATTTCTCCTTTCAGAATTATTTTAAATAGCTAAGGCTGCTTTTAAGAAATATAATTGGTTTTATTTTATTTGTTTTATTATATATGTAAGTTGTCCTGACAGCTTTGACTATAAGGTGACTCTTAAATTGAATAATAACAGTGGTGGTGGTGATGATAATGACAATAATATCAGGTGACCTGTTCATATAACAGTGTGTTTGCTAAGTTTCCACATCACTGGGACATCTGAATAATAGAAAGAAAAAAGAAAGAAAAGACAATCTTTGAATAGGTGATTTCTGAATATATATATTTCTACCAGCACTTGAAAA